TAAAAAAAAAAAGAAAGTTAAAACAGGGCAAATAGGATGAAGGAGCCCCCCCCTTTTGTTTTTTGGTGGAACCGTGGATTGAACTCAGGCCCTTAGAAAGTCATCTTTAATGCATCCTCAATGCAGAAATAAATAACTTGCTGTTGGGTAACTTCCTTTCAAAGTTCATAAATTTAAAAGCAAAACAAAAAACAAGTACAAGAACTATGCCTACATCCTACATGTTTTATCCCTGGTATTTCCTCACGTTAGTATTTCCGCCAGGACTGCCAGAGGATATGGAGGGTACAGGCAAAGAACTGAAGAGTGGTTCCACACCATGGCTGTGCGGCACAGAAACTTTGGGAGCCTTAACAAATCATATTCAGGTGGCACCTAGACCACTTAAATCAGAATTTCCAAAGGTGGAACATGGAGTCCCAGGAGTACTTTAATTCTCATGCGCATCTGTGACTAAGACATAAGACAGTTCTGCCGTTCTATATCTCAGTCCTAACTTGTAGAAGCACTGCCTATTCCACGTAAATGAAGCTGCAATTCACATTTATTTGTGGTGAGACTGTATGTGTATATGTGTATTTGCGTGTTAGCATATACTTATGTACATCTAGTTTACTGAGAATTGAATGTGGGGACTTTGCACTGACCTATATCCCCAGCCCTTTAAGTTTTTTAAAATTCTGAGTTTCCTCAGTTGCCTGAGCTGGTCTTGAACTTACCATCGTCCTGTCTCAGCCTCAAGTGTGTTGGGATTACAGGTATGTAAATATAGTTGTATGATTTTGCCATTTATATTCTTCTGAAATCACCTGGTCAGAGCTATTCCAAGTGCATCTATGAATTACTGGTCTTTTGTTTCTTAATCATTCCTAAGAGGTCCCCACCATCATCTTATCATGTCACTGAAAAAGGAAGCCTAGGCTTACAAAGCAACTGCAATGAACTAAGCTGAGCTTCATGTTAGCTCTGCAGAGATGTGATCTCAATGTCATAACACAACAAAGTAGGTATCACCATTATTATAGAGTAAGAGGTGAAATTTCAGCACAAAGGGGTTAAGCAAGCAGTGGAGATGGGCTTTTGAACCCACACGACTTAGTTCTGAGGATCTGTGTTCTAGTTAACTCACTGATGTCTAAACCTCAAGAGCTTTTACATAGTAACACTGGGATAGAAAAGACATGTGCCTCAATTTTAACACTATCCTACATGGAAGGAAGAAACTAAAGTGTCCAATAGTGAATCATATTTCTTCAAAAATTCAAGTTCTAAGAAATTCTAAGCAGGAAAAGCTTTCTGTACTTCTTCAGAGGAATTACTCTATGGAATGTGCTTGAATGTCTTCTATTTAAATTATTACCTCTAGTTCTTTTTTTGTTATTTATTTGTTTGTTTTTGCAGAACTGGGGGTTGAACTCAGAACCTATTCTACTGAGCTATCTCCCAAGACCCTTTTGCCTGTAGTTCTGCTAATAGTCTTCACAGAGCTCCAGCACTAGAATAATTCTAGATACATTATATTCAAAGTTACTCAGTGTTTCCTATCTCCAATCATACTAAACAATAATGAGGTTTTATAAATGCTTGTTGTCAATACAGTGCCACTACCTGGAACTGATTTTCATAAGTAAGTGTCCAAGGGGCTACGCACTTCAGGGGGAAGCCCTGTGTACAGGTGCAGGTGAGCAGGCGTGGGTGTGCTGATAACTCCTCTGCAGAATCTCATTGGTAGGTATTAATCACTTAAAGGCTGCCATGCTATTGTTGCTATTATTCAACCTGGGCAGAGAGTAAGGGTGATATTGTATCCTTTCATTTCTCTACTTTTTCCCTCTTTTTACCACTTAAATTTTCCATTTGAATCAATATCTCAAAATAGAAACAAATAATCTAGCATCAGTGGAAGACTTCAAGTTAATAAGGAGGGTTTATTCTTTTCTAGATGAAATATCCTTCCAGAAAAAAGATTACTGACAGAGGACCTATTTTCTATGGGAAGGATTGCCAAATTCCATTAAAGTACGTTGTATCTGCTTCCTAGCTGTCCAAAGAAGAAAAACTATCTAGACACTAAGAAGCCATAATCAATTTCAGGGTTTAAGAGTTACATTTTCCACCTGCTTTAGCTATAAAATGCAACTGATTTGGAGAATTATTCAGGACGGTGGTTTTCAAACTTTAATGTGTAGCAAAATCATTGTGGGGCTGATGAGAAACATGGATGGCCAGGCCTCATCTCTAGACTATTGTCTCCAGGGCTGCAGATGAGGCCCAAGGATCTGGGTTTCTACCAAGTTTCCCGGAGCTACTGGTCAGTGGCTACCCTTCGCCAACTCCTGATAAGGAGGGCCCTCACATATACCTCCTTACAACACCCTCCCTTTCTTCATTGGAGAATTCAGAGCTGCAGTTTTGAGTCATATTCTAGACTAGTACCTCAAATGGTGGAGCACTTTCTGTGGCTTTCGATCCTAAGTAAACCACTTCCTTCTCTAACTATGGCGGGGATAATATTAGTAAAGAAAGCAGTTCTCTATCAGAACAAGAAAGCAAGTTGTCTCTTGAGTCCTTCCCTGACTCTCTTTAAATTTCTTACAAAGTATTTGGAGTGAAGTTCAAAAGGAAAAATTTGCAAGGAGTGGCAGGATCAAAAGAAGACTGGCATACTCACCAGAGAGGAAATATACCCAGCCGTGTGGTGATAAAAACCATGGCAAACATAACAAAGAGGAGGTCACACATCTTCTGAAACTTGGCGTAATTTGCCATTTTGGCAGCCTGTAAAAGGAAAGAACATACTATATTAATTTAGTCAAACTGATAAATGACAAAATTTCTTTCAATATGCATGAGACCCCCTAGAAGATAACACACGCATCAAATCTCCTGCTACTCTAAAATGTCATGCATCATACATCAGTATTTATAAATTACCCCTAAGTGAGTGAAATGCAGCCTTAGGTATAAGTGGAGCGAGTGACTATCACAGATTTAATAAAATATTCAGCAACCCAAAAAATTTAATTATATGGTTGATTTCAGGAAAACAGAGAAGAAAACTAGAAACTTTTGCATTATAGATATTAGCAAGCCAGATGCCAGAACAGAAATCTGGCAATAATGAGTCAAAACAGAAAGTGCTAGATAACCCTCTAAACCATTATGAGGCCCAAATACTGAGCTCACAAGCTTGATAAGACTGTATGGAATTTTTCTGCATCTGTCTTCCTCTCTACTTAGAATTACAGTTTTTCTTCGAACAGGTACAGGCAGTACTCTGGGATGACAACCTCCTGGCTTAGTCTCATAAACAGAAATGAGAAAGTACTAGATCCTGTTATTGGGACTAATTCATTTAGGTCAAGTCTTCAGAGTTACAGTACAGGATCATTTTCTAAATGAACATCGCTAATGTTCAAAGTGCCTGTGAGAAGTACTCTCATAATTTATGACAATAATTTAAGCAACTACTTTTCATACACTATAAATTAAAGTAGGGAAGAAATCATGTCCTTTACTCTACCACCATTTTTTCAGATGACTGTAAGAAGAAATAAAACTGAAAACAGAGTTTTGCTTGATTACTTCTTTTTATATTTTTACCCAGAATCCACAGTACCTATGCACAGTGATAAGTCAAAGATATCTTCTGTGTTAACATTATTTTGTACTTCTTGGAACATTAAATTAGTTGAGTCATGCTTGAAAATTGTGAACAGTGTCCTCAGCTGTTATACTTTAATAGCTTTAAGTAAAGCACAAAGCTATAAGAGAAATATATTCCTAACCCACGGAGTAGGAGGCCAGATCATGAGCTCTTCATTTTATGACTATTTGTTTGTAACTCCATGATCTGTGGATAAAAAAAAAAAAACATCCTCTGCCTTCTTCGGCTAGGTAAACCCTATGATTTTTCCTTTATATTCATTCATCAGTAGTTAATAAATAAACACAAATATGAACTTCTCTAAATGTCTAGGTCATAGGTCCCGTTTCAAAGACCGCATTAGACATTCTTGAAAAAAAATTTATAATGTCAAACCAGAATTCAGATAATAAAGAATACTTGCTTAAATCAACCTAACTGGGATTTCTGAGTTCTTTTCTTTTCTAGATAAAAGTAGCAGATGACAGCTGAACGGACATTTTCTGAATCTTGGCTCTGCCACGCACTATGGAAGTATTAAAGGTGACTGATTGTACAAAGCTGATTTCAAAACTGTAGGTTGCTGTATAGATTTCTATTTCTGAGCCTATAGCATTTAATCAGATGATAAGTGATCTCCATGGAATTGCCCTCATGTTAAATATATTTCTTCTTTTAAAAATATGTGGAGTAGAGTTGAGCTTGAATCACTTAAAAATCACAGGAACAAACCAGTTTCTGATTTATCTAGCCCCATAGGGTTATCTTTGTGCTTTATAGTATGGAAGAGATTTTTAAAATTTAATTAAAAAAATTATTATGAAAATGTACATGACCCAACCTTCTCTCATGGTGAAAGTGGTTCTCTGGAGGGGGTGGGGTGTTGCTGCTGAGTGGCCTTTCTTCAGCTCCGTCCAACACAATGATCCCCAGTCCCCATCCCACCCCACTCCAGCATTGTTCTGTTGCCATTATTTGCCAACTCTACACAGTCATCTATCACAAAATCCACAAAGGGGGGCCAGGGAGATGGCTGGGGCCAGGGAGATGGCTCAGTGGAATAAGTGCTTCCCTGGCAAGTGCAAGGGCCTGAGTTCAATCCCCGGTTCCAAAAAAAAAAAAAAAAAAAAAATCCACAAAGGGATTAAGTCCTCAGAATAGTCCTTGGAAATGTCTGTCAGCCTTTAATTTCAACAGTAACTTCTTGGCCATGCTTTTTGCTGTTGCTGTTGTTAGCTCAGGAGCGTGGCTTTGCTCCTGTCATCTGCTCAACACGCTCAGAGCTCCTTCAGGGCCAGGGTTTTAACAAAGTGCTATGTCTACTTCCAAACCTACCCAATCACATGAAGAGTAGCTTCAATGTTTTAAGTTTTTCTTACATTGCAGTAACAGAGCATAACTGGGGGCAATTCTATTCTATATTCACAGTAATGATAAACGTGACTAAGGTGATAAACCTGTGGACCAACAGTAATTTTAAAAGCTAGAATACAGATTCTAAGACACAATTCTATTCTTTGGAATATATACTCTTATAAGTTAATTTTAACCAGCCATGTAAATATATTAACATAAAGAAAAAAGCCTCTTATTTGCCATGATTACTATTGCTGAGCATGGTTGTTACAGCAGTAAATTCTTAGCCAGGTATGGTGGTGTACGCCTCTTAGCACTCACTCTGGGAGGGTAAGGCAAGAGGGTTTTAAATTCAAGCCCAGCCTGGGCAACCTAATGATTGAGTGATATCCTGGCCCAAAATTAGGTAATTAGTTAATTAATTAATCAGATACAGAGTCTTGTTGCAGTTCATACTTGCAGTGATACTCCTGTCTTAGCCTTCCCAGTGCTGGTATTATAGGTATGCGCCACCATGCCTGGTTTCCGGGGCCAGCAGGTATGGGTCCTTACACGTGCCAGGTAGGCACTTAGGCACCAAGCTAACTCCCCAGGGCCTAAACTTCAAAAAAAATTGCAAACAAGAGCTGGTCTGAGGGTTTTGGCTGAATTCCAGTATTCACACACAAAGTATTAAATTCTTTAAATAGTTTCTATACATGATTTGCAATTCTTATACCCTTTTCATTGTAAGATACTAGGAAAATGTGTACATTTGCAATAAATCTACATTATTTAATTTTGTTGGGATGTACAGTTTTCATTAATAACAACTGGGTTGTTATCAATTTCAGATAAATCAGTGTGAAATTTGTAACACAAATCTATCAAAATAATGACTTTCAATTGTAAAATAAATCATGTAAGGTGTGAAAGAGTACAAGTTTTCATCATTCCATTAATAAAGAATGCTAAGATGATCAACTTCTTTGTATGAAAGTTTTTATCTGCAGCCTCATTTTCATTAATTTCAGTACAAAGAAACACCCCAGAGTTTCAGAGAACCATCTAGCACAACACAAAGAACTTATGATCTCGGGGCTTTTGAGAATTCTGCTTTCTGTATTAGTAGAGATGAAGGAAAACTTTTACCTCTAGAAGAGCATCAGCTGAGTCATGAAGACAGAGGACCAGGGTTCCTACTCGGGCCATATTGTTGACATATGAAAAGGTGATCAACAAAATTGATACCAGGTGGTGCAGGAACATAATGCCAAAGTCCTTGAGGAGGGAAAGACACAGCCATGTTAGGGTCTAGCCACATTATAACATTTCCATTCATCTACCAACCAGTAAACCAGCGTTTACTAAGACTCTCTGCAGGCCTAGAACTGGGAGTACTACAATGGTAAGACAGAATCCCCATCCTCTGGAATCCACCATCTAGTGGGACAGACAAAGGCGACCAAAAACCATGGAGAATATGGTCAACACCAGAACAAAAGCCAGGTATGAAGTGTGGTTTTTATTAAGTCAAAGAATCTGAAATGATAGGAAGAACCATCACAAGACTCAAAGCAAAGAAGAGTACTACTTAGAAGGAACTACTACTTTGCTTGGGTTTGGATAAGTTCCTCCCCAACAACCTATGTGTTAAAGGCTTCACCTCCAGTCCATGGTGCTTGTTGTGGTTTGGGGTTTCTGTAAGGTGAACAATATATAGTACAGGACACATTCTGTAATAATATTTTATAATGAATTGCCCAAGAATAACATTAGACCTGTAGGAAATCTACACACTAAATACTAAAGAATTCAGCTGTGGGCCTAGAGCTCGTAAAAACACCTCCCACCAGTCCAACTGGAGGCCTAGAGCCCACAACAAAGTCTCATATAGGTCAACTTCACAGATAAATGCTGGAAAGGCCCAAAGGTCAGTCAGTGGTGGAAGCTAGGAAGTCTATGCCAGTGAGAAGAAGGATCTGTGCTAGCAAGCTGAGGGATCTGAACTGGAGCTAGGAAGCAATACTCAAGGTAAGCACCAGAGCTCCCCCACAAGTACCAGAGCTGTCCTTAGTGGCAGTGAAGTCCTGAGCTTCTCTGGTGATGAGGAAAGCCCGGTTCCCATCAGGAAAGCTGATGTGTCATGCTTCTTAATGAGGCTGCTCAGTGCACCATGTTCCCCTCTGGAGCCAGGAATTGATGCTCAAGATGAAGACCCAAGCTTCTCCAAAGTTTATAGGGAAAGCTAGCATGACAAGGTCCTCCAGAAGAACACCCCAAGAGAACTAGCTTCCAACAGCTCCAACAGCTTCTTTAAACAGCATCCCTAACAGCATTATGGCAGCATCTCCTGTTATGCCTTTATGCTGCTGGCAACAACCCTCACATGGGCCTCACACACCCAGCACCATGCTAGTTCATTTTAGCTGGGATTAGCAAGTTGACCACCAGTTAGCTATCCATTACAGTGCTAAGAGAAGGTGACAGAATTTTAAGAGAGGGGCTGGGAGAGAGAGCTAAGTTGCTGGGGGTGTGCCTTTGAAGGAGATGTTGGAATGCTGGCTCCTTCCTGTCTCCTTTTCTTTTCCTTCCTGGCTGCCATGAGGGTAACAGCTTCTTTCACCATGTGTCCTCAACATCATGTACTCCCTTGCCACAGGCCCAAAGAAAAAACCTGACCTCCTATGGACTGATACCTCTGAAACTAGCAGCCCAAATAAGCCTTTCCTCCCTGTAAGTGAATTTATCTCAAGTATTTTGTCACAGCAATGAAAACCTGACTAATACAAACTTTAAGATCTTCTTAGGAGCAGTACAGGTCGCCTAGTCCACTTCACTGTATACTACTGGCTGCAATTTCTGAAGGTACAAGCTGTGTTTCTGACTGCTATGCAGCACCTTTGAAAGGACAGCTGGCTACAAGCATGGGGAAAGATCACTGCATAGCTCTCAAACTCGGGCCCATCAGCTACAGATGGCTCCATGGGTCACAATGTAAGGTCTGAAACAGTGCTATACTCTGAATGCTTGTGTCTACCTTCCACTTGTATTCTCATGTTAGAATCCAAATGTCCAAGGTAACGATTTAGGAGTTGGTCTCTGGGAGGGCATCAGGCCAGGAGGCCAGGGCCTCATGGGCAGGATTAGGGCCTCTGTAGAGAATCCCTGAAGACCTGCCTTCCACTTTCCATCTTGTGAGGACACCACCCAAAGGTGTCACCTTCAAAGTAGGAGATGGGCCCTCTCCAGAACTCTGAGAAGTTTTTGTTTTTCACAAACTATTCATTGTATGGTACTGTTTTATAGATGTCTAAGCAGGTTAAGGCAGGTGGTGCTGGGTTTATTATCTCAGGTTAGCATCCTACCTCCTGAACGTGCTTCCTGGGGTACTAATATAAGATTCTTAACATGCTGGCTTTAAAAAAATTTTTTTTTAAAATTTTATGTATTTGGTACAGGGCAATCACTATGCAGCTCAGACTCATAGTGATTCTCTTCTTTTCAGCCTCCCCAGTGCTGGAATTACAGGCATGCGCCACCACGCCCAGACTCAGCTGCCAGATCAGCATGCAGTACCCAGGAACCAAGTCCCAGTCCTTGAGCTTGCCTAAGCAGGTGCTTAATCCACTGAGCTATCTTGCTGGCCCTAAAACGCTGGCTTTTCTGAGAGGCACTACACACGCAGCCCTGAATTTTAATCATTATCTGTTCATAGTCAGTAAAAAATTGGGAGGGCAGAAGTAATACCAAAATGACCATCCCTATTTTGCCAATTTTAAGTAAAGGACCAACCAAGTAAAAGACCTTTCTCTGATATTATTTCCCAACCATCTGGACAGGCTTTGACATGACATAGAACTTCTGTTACTATAGTCTCTTTAACTGATTTTTATTGTAATCTACCTTCATCTTGGAGTAAATGTGAACATTAGCTCTAATACTGCTCTAATTGAAGCTTTTTGAAAAAGAATACTCCCCATTCGAACAATTAACCAAAATGAAAAGCACTTTGCAAAACTAATCTATGAATGCCAGGTGTGACAGAACAAGCCTGCAATCCCAGCACTTGGGAGCTGGGACAGGACAGTCACCACAAGTTGAAGGACAGCCTGCACTATATAGTGAACTTGAGGCCATAGCAAGATCATGTCTCAGAAAATAAAACAAAACCCAACTAACCTTTGATAAAATCCTGTTTATAAAAAAACAACAACATAAAGGTTAAAACTGATGGAACTTTTCTCAAAAAGCTAACTTTGGAGGTCAAGTTTCATGTGGCCATTTATTCAATATTGATAAAAATATTTATGAAGTATTTAGGGTACCCTATGGCTTGGGGGTAAACAGGCAAACAAAATACAAAAGCGGTTTGTGCTCATGGAGCTTATATATCCTAGTGAGGGAAAGCAGACACTGAGCATAATAAATAAATAATCACATACCAAGGAAGGTAAGAAGTGCTGTAAGGAAACACCACAATCATGATGGAGCAGTTGCCCTACTACAAATCAGTCAGGGTATTCCTGGTAGAGGCAGCATGGAGGTAAAAGCCCTGTGCATCAGCCTTTGAACTCTGATGTGTTCAAGGAATAGCTCAGAGCATGGCCAGAGTGAAAGGAACTCAGGCGAGTGGCAGCCTCATACTGATTTCTTCTTACCAGATTCTTTCTACCTATCAATAGTACTTTAAAAGAGCAGTCTAATTTTGGTGAATTGAAAGTAATCACTCTACCAGAAAATCCCTGGCATATCACTATTCTCAGTAATGCATGTGCTCACAGATGAATTGGGAATTGGAGAGGTCAAGAATAAAATAATTTCTGAAAACAACTTTATTTGCTGCATGAGAGTAGCTGCAAGGCACTTGTAAGTATTCTCTAGTGATACACCCTGTCACCACCACCACGAAACAGGGTCAAGTCCTTATTCTGACAGGAGTCTTTTCACCCTTCCCTCACATTGTTCTGGGACTGGACTATTCCTTGGTCTGTTCTGAGAACGGACATTTGGACCCATGACATAATGGACAACTGAGTAACAGCCCTCAGGTTGGTGGGTGCCCAGCCAGGCTATTTTAACTTTTTCTGATTTGCACTGACTCTGACAACTAGGCCGGGCACAGATATCAGTTTCTCTCAGATTAAGTTCAAGGAGAACATGGTGACTCTTGAGTGCCTCCTCAGGTTGGAGGTGCCTTGTTCTTTCTTCTGCACCCATTCAGCACTCATGGCTTCTGCCCTGGTCTCTGATTCACAGGGACAAAGGGACACTGTCCTTTGGGACCGTCTTTATCAATACTGACTCTATAGTTTTCCACACCCAGACAGCTATGTGTTTCCAATTTCTATTCTTCAGTTCAACTCAATTAAACAATTACTTTTGAGTGAATTTGTCTGCGGTTAAGATAATTTGTATTTCAAAACAAAAGCTCAATAAAGTTAAAACCAGCATCTTTCTGGACATGACTAGACTTTTCAAGAATATGTGCATCTTCTTTAGTTTGATGAAGGATTATGAAGAGCATATTACATGACAGCCAAGTTGTAATCCAGATTTCAACTCATGAATTTTGTCATTTTTGGTAAGGGGATCAATTTCCTCATCTGCACAGCGAGTGCATTAGGTGAAAGCCGTCAACACTACAATCCTAGGCTTGCTCACTGTGGTAATGAGGCAGCATTGGGAGCCTGTAGCCTGCTCACCTTCTCCCTGGAGTGGGAGGTGAGCCTGCCATGCAAGCAACAACATGAGTGCACATCTTCTCCTCAGGACCTGCAGCCATCACTACAGTTTGGGATTTGAAAACTCAACCTAAACTTAACTTAATTGGAGCTGTGTGTGATTTTTCTCCCCGGCAACTGCTTCACATTTATGGGAAACCATCCACATTCTTTTATTACCGAGATAACCAGGGTACTAGTTTCTTACATGTGGTCATATAACTTTTTGCACTCTACGTTAGTGTGGTCTTTGAACTACTCATGCTGCACTGACGAGACAGTGCTGAGTCAGAAGACACATCTATGTTGCTTCAGTAACTTCTGAGCTGAAGTGCTGACTTGGAATTCATGCCATCTGGTGACCTCTTCTATGCTCCTTCATTTGGAAGCATATTTATATCTGTTCTGAGGTTCCTGGTGGACAAGGAACTATGACTGTACCCTGAGTTTAATGAGTAATTACATGCAGGTGCAACTTAATAGTTTGGGCTACTTCTTCAATTCTGATATTTTTGTAATATCTTGGCTTTCCCTAAATCATTAAAAATAAACTATATC